TGGCTAAAATAGTTCTAACATTCACGTACAGAAGCAGTTAATTCAAATATTCAGCACAAAGCTGTCTTAAAACAATTTAAATGAAACACACACAGCTGCAATAAATTGCCCATGTAACCTTATAAAGAATTAACCGATCAAATTAAAGGCAGTGATAGAAACAACCATGAAAAAGTTGTACAGCTTTGAGTGAAACTTTTAACCAAGTCTCAACTTTTCATACACTGATATGAGTCAAGTCTTTTTCCATTTTCTTCAAAAGCAATGCAGACGGTACGCTAGAGACATTAAAGAAGCAAACAAGCAACCAAAAAAACAACAAAAAAACTCAGTACCTCACACGTTGAATGAACTTAATCAGCAGCGGTACTGTAGGCTGGATTCTTCAAAGACACGTAACACAGTTTTTTTTAAATGTACACACAACTTTCCTGCACACACTTACTCACAAGTGCTCTCTGAGTCTTTGAGTTTATTTAAAGGACACGGGACAGACACGCTGAGCATCTTCAGGCGACAGATGGTCAAATCATCTCCAGTCAGCTCATTGTCGCTGCAAGTTCCTGGCATCAGTGATAACAGCTTTAAATGCTTCAGAATTCTCAGTTAACACCTCTGCCGTGAGTAAGGGGAACCCTGTGCACGGCGCTTACCATGCACCTTTGCATATAACATATTTGTTTCTTTGATAATCTGTGTTTTAAAAAAAAACATTCCGGTCGCACTGTCTGCAGACATGAAACCCACACGGAGAAGAGGCACAATTTTGTACACGTGTAACTATAAAGCTTATCAGTGTCCGTTTTCCTCTTGTTTACACAAGCGTACATAATGGGGAAGGCTGAACAAAAGGAAATGAAAATAAAACAGCACAGTTTGAAGAAAATGTGTTGTTTAATAGATGTAGGAAACATCCCGAGTTTAAGTGTGACAATGACCGGACACCCAGGGAGCAGAAAAATGTTTTTTGGGGGTTGAATTATGCAACATAACACCTTGTTGTCCAAGCTGCGAGCCGAGATGTCTGCCTAGCTTCAAAGGCTTTGACTTGAAACTGAATCCAAAAGTCCAAAGTAATCACTGACTCTAGCAGTATCCATAAACAACGTTGCCCCTGCTTGTTATAGGTCTGCATAGCACGGTTAAGCTCCCTCCCAGACAGAAACTCAATGTGAACTGGGGAATGAAGTGCAATACCAAGATGAGGAGAAAATTCCATACATTTTATGAAATACATTCAACTTACATGTGGAACTTGGTGATGTTCCTTTGCAGGTGTTCTGTTGGATGTGGCTCCAGTATAATCACACTGCCCTCTTTCTTAGAGATCAACTTTTCCATCACTATTAAAAAATCTGTCCCTAAATCCAGCTAATGACTTGGTTGCTCATCAGCCTTCATTCACCCATTGTAAATGTCTCACTCCTGGTGCTCAGTAGGGAGGTTGACAAGAAAAAGTCCCCTCTTTAAAACGTCTGTTGCATAATTTCAGTCTTTCTTCATTGTTAGTTTAAACATTTTCAGTAATACGTATGAAGGAAAGGTCATATTGAACGCTTTAAATTGTCCCTAGGAGTGAACGTGAGTGTGTCTGGTTATTTTTCATGTCATGGAATGGCGACCTGTCCAGGGTGTACCCCGCCTATAGCCCATTGTCAACTGGAAAAGGCTCCAGCCCCCCCGTGACCCCACTGGGAATAAGCGGCATAGAAAATGAATGGATTTATGAGAGAGGAACAGTGTCAAAGCAGCTGTTTGACTACTTTCTTCCAGTGGGATAAATTCTTGCCTTTACTAGCTCCACTAATACATGTGGACACAAGTGTTTTTTAATCCTTTCTTGTCTGCTATGACTTGTCATTGTGTTGCTGTGATTTTTTTCACAAGGGTATTTGAGACTTTCCTCAAGTCCCCTAAGGATACAAAGATATCTGAGTAATTCACAGAAAACATAGATACATCTTTAAATACGGTAAATTCTTTGCACAGTGGTCTAAACGCCTCTGAAATTATTCATCAGATGGACTTTTAGCAGTGGATGGACACAAATGGAATACATCCTTTAACTCAGATTTTTGTTAATTTATTTTAGAGTAACTAATGCAATTAGTTCTGCCCCTCAGTTGGAAATTACAGAAGCTCTTTAACAGTTTGAACAGGACATTTGCAAATCTGTACCTGTATTTCGTTGGGAAATAGCTGTGACAAATCACTGGCATACGGCTGGCTTTTTGTTTAGCTTTCTTTGCTTAATCTATTTATAAATCTATTTTCACAGTAATCAAAAGTTAAATATATGCATTTCAGGAAAATTCCGGCCTAAAACAAACAAAACCAGAGAAGATATCAAACTTTTACCTGGAGCCCCGACAGGAGCTTTCTGATATTCATTCACTAGCTGTAAACCTGTTGATTTTCCTCCTGACTGTAGATTAAAGTTTATACTCGTGAAAAAGTCTAAACTTTTCCCACACACGTTTTATTGGTTTTTGCCTCATCCTCACAATCACAGCTGCTTCCACATTAGACGGCACAGCAGCCGAATGAGGAAACACACTTTAGCTGGATTTGATTAAAAAGCTCTCCGCGTTCCACATTTCTACAAAGCTCTGCATGTTTTGATTTCTTCTTTTTAACTGTCCACAAAAATAACAAACATCTGAGCTGAACTTTATTTTGTGCAGATTCACCCTTTGTCACGACTGGGACGTTCTATTTATTCATCCTTGGACTCACTTGACCACGCATTAATTTGGGTGAACCCTGTGTTTTTAAACAAAAAAATTAAATCAAACTTAATTGATTTAGGGCTTCAAGTCAACATTTGACATCAAGTGAGTCAGTGATTTCAAGGCTGTAGATATGGTTATATTTAACACAGTGACATTTTTGGGGTGGTACTGGAGAATAAACCCAGAACCTTTCTCACGGTTGAGAGTCCCTCTGCTCTCATGCAGTCCGCACTATGACAAAGTCTTGCTGCATGAAGCCATTCTGACTTATGGAACACAGATTAGAAAATAAAAGCATACATTTGCAGTTGAATTTCTTAGAATAGCTCCATAAATGCGCAAATCAGCAAGAATTTATCGACCCAGTGAGACCACATCAATCTGGATCGTTCCAGATCGACTGTGACTACAAACTGTGACAACGAATAAATATGATTCAGGCCTGTTCATAACCCCGCATCGCTCTGAAAACAGTGGTTTTATGCAAAATTTTATGTGTAGATTTGAAGTCTTTAGATAAACAGGCAGGCAGATGCTGGGGTGATTTTATCTTGCTTTCGAGTGTTCACACTATGGTAAGCTATCAGCATCACCAGAAGAGCTGTCTTCGCCTCTAACTCTCAGAGAGAAGGTGAATCCTATCATGCAGAAGTCCTTCTGTGGAGGATGGTATCATTATTTTACCTATGATTTTTCCCTTTTAATAGGAGGTTACAGAGTGATCCTGGATTATATAAAAAAAATATGTAATTTTTTTTATATCAGACTAGCTATTCAAATAAAGCTTGATGATTAAAACTCCTGAACCCATGAGTTGTAATTACTAAACAAATTGCCACAAGTCTTAATCGAGGCAAGGATCTTTTTTGATGAAGTTAAGCTCTTACAAGATTCGACAGCAACATAGTCATCCTTCATAATGACCTATTTTGCATTGACTGATAGCTAGATTTTTTATAAAGCTGTTTAATCTAAAGCCTGTAACAGGTATAATAATTAAGAGATTTCATTGCTGTACGATATGGAGCTTGTCCTGTTTCAGAATTCAATTAACTGAAGCGATGGAAAGACAGTACCAACACATATTTCAACACAAAGTCACTTTATTAAGCTTGGGGGCAGACGGAGCAACTGGCTGGGGGTATTTAAAGTAGACGCTGGCTCCGAGGAGGGAGTCGGCTGGTGTTCCCAATTTATGATCCAGCAATAGGCGAACGGCAACTGCATTCAAGCCACACATAAAAAGTCAAAGTTTTAATTAAAAAAAAAACCCTAGCGGGACTCGAGGATAAGGACCCCCTTCACCATTTCCAGGCATTTACAGGGTTTGTAGAGGCTCCCCCGATTTGTTTGGTATGAAGTCACATGTCAAACACAAACATCGAATCTCTTCCAAATGAACCAGACATTGATGACTTGACATCAGGGCATTTGGCTGACTGGTGCACTTCTGGCTGTATTCCCAGATTAGGCCCAGATGAGCCTGGTTCTTCTCTGCAGTCAATGCTTTGAGGATGTTCTCTGTGAGGTTGAAAATGTTCTTGTATTCTTGGAGGTGACTCTTTTAACAACTGATGTCCGTTAGACATGAGCATTATGTTATCTTTTCAGCACATGGACCTTAGTCCTACATACTAATCACTGAGGACACAACTGGTTATTGTTTCTGAACTCACTGGATGGACAAGATGCTCTGACAGAAAAAAGAAATCCTTGCTTTTTTTCCCCCTTTTTAGAAAAAAAAAAAACTCCAGAAACACTGAACACACAGTTTAGAAAAGAAACAAAGCATTTGGAGATTTAGAAAAATTAAAGACAAAATACTGTAATGACATTATAACACTGAACACTTTGATAACCCAGAGGACTATTTGATGGATAGTACTGTACATCACATCCAGTACTGGGAGGGTCACAACACAAACCTGACTGGTAGTCTGTTTAAAACAGTCATTCCTACTCAGAGTGTTCTGCACACTGACACCTGCAATCTTTGAATACAAGCAATCAAATTGGTCTTTGAAGATTTCTTAATCAAAGATGGGTATGTGATGTACTGATATCCATTCTGAAACGTGTTGTAAGTTTCTTATAACAGAAGTACTTATCTCTTGGTCTTATGTTGATTTTGTGCATCTGTGTGGACCGTTGTGGCAGAGGAGTTCTTTTGATAACATTCTCCCCCTTTCCAAAGGTTAGTCAGTACACCTGATCATCAGTGTTCATGCAGTAAAGGTTATTCATCAATTGATTTGTTGTAGACCTTTCCTACCCAAGCTTTGTGAATTCAGAGTCCTCTTTCCTGTAGTCAAGAGTGGTGTTTCCCCTGGGGGACTGGACTTTGCCGATTTCCTCTAGAGCGCTGGCCAGAGAGTCCAGATCCCCAGAGTCCTGGTGCTGGGCTTCCCACAGACTCAGAATCACTGAGGATGGGCTGTCCTGACATGCGAAGTAGCACAGGTTCCTAGAGGCCAGAAAAAAATGAAATATTTTAATAAAAGATCTCGCTGCACAGCACTGAATAATGAAGGAGTAGTTGAGTAATGAAGTGATTGCTTTGCAGTTATTATAATGCAAAGTCATTTTTCAAGAGCTTATTATGCGAGCATCAAATTAATAAAACATTGGAGGTTCCGAGGGAAAAGTCAAAGAGCAATGGTGAAAATCAAAGGAGCAGACATTCCATTATACTGATGTTTGTCACTGAGGAATTTATATTTCTCTCAAAGTGTTCCAGGAGACGGGCCAACCTGCTCTGAATTAGTCATGGCATGGTGCATACTGGTTAGATGTTTAATATGGCACAGGTTTGGTTTGATGATGTTTAAACACAGACAAATGATAACCAAACAAGATCATATTTCTTTTGCCTCTGGGAATGATGTCTGGATCATGTCTGGATGCTGGCTCTTTTACACCAACAAACACAACATGGCTCACTGAATAGAAGCCAGAGGTTTTGTGCTTTCACACCTCTTCCAATGCAAGCGTTTCTTTTTTGTCATCACTAGAAGAAGCTTGTGAAAACAGGAAAACTCAGCTATTGCTTTAAATACAGGAAGATTATGAATTCTATCATGGATTCTCATCACCTTCACAGAAACACAGCCATGTACTACGGCAATATTTTGATTTAATTATGTTCTTTTAACAATCCATTTGATAATTAGAATGTCAAAGCAACAAAGACTGAGCCGGTGATAAAGACACCAGTCAAAATAACAATAAGTGACAAGTAAGTTAATCTTACTCCGTATTTACTCGTCTGCTGTTGTTTTAACAACTGTCCAATAGAGGGCACTGTTTTATTGTGATGGCATATCTGTTGCCTCTTTCTATCCTATTTTCCTTTCAATTCCACTTTCCCTTCGTCTCTGTGATGATTTTCCCACACACTCAGAGAAATAATTACAAAAATCAGCTTAAGTAGGGAGAGACATTCCTATTACATGCTTCTTGGTGTGCTTGCCTGGATTGAAAGAGCTCTGAAATCCTTTCCCATTTCTCAGTCACAGATGTTTGTTTTCAGACTTGGTGAAAGTGAAATTCCTTAATCGCACAGTTTCTGTCATCATTTCTTGCTTGACTTTTTTCCTCTCATGTTCCTCCAGCTGGGAGGAAACAGAGGGTATCCACTCTGTCAGTGTCTGTGGGCTGACTGCACAGATCTAAGGACCGTTGATGGAATAAGCACTTGATTATTGACTTCTTTTCAGAAGCACAATTACAGATCAGCCCATTTCTAAAAAATCTAAACTCCTCCTCCACCTACATAAACACCAACCTCGCACCACCTCCGGAGAGTTTAGCCGGGGTTGAAAGATGGAGCGCAGGCAGAGATGCTGCTAATGAGAAGTGCTAACATGAACACATTTTCTTGCCAGAGGCTGGCCTGTCAGCAGTCAAAGACTGCCTTCAGATTTCTGCACAACGCTGCATCTTGACTGCAGCTACAATATTCTGACTGTGCAAAAGTTGGCTGAAACATTTTCCTCCCCATCCGTCTCTTTGCATGTGTTTTTAAATCTATAATGAAATCAGCAGTGTGGTGTGCAACTGAGCGCTGGTTTGCGATGGAAGATAAAGGCACACGCGGTGGCAAAATTCCAGATTAAAAGTGGTATTCAAAATGAGAGTGCTGTTTACATTCATGGAGAAACATGCATGCAGCATTTTTTACCACCCAGTTATTATTCCGTTATTCAAAACAAAACATGCCAGCTCATTCGTGCAAAGAGATGACTCAGCGGTATGTAAATGGCTGCAAAAAGTGTGGGATGAAATTTAGTGCAATAACTCAGACCTGTCTATGTGGAGCTTTTGAGCCAAGAGCTGCCAGTCCTTTCCGTTGGCGTTCGCAATGTCAAAAGTGGCGCTGATGCGTTGACGGATGGACAGGGGGATTTTAAAGGCCCGTGATCCTGTCTGAGAGGTGATGGTACAGTCCGACTGTGTGAAAAAAGGAACCACTCCCTTTTCCTTCTGGTAGCAAAAAGGGAAAGAAAGAAAGAACCGTCTCTGATATATAGAAAACAAAAACTCATCAAAACATTTTACAGTCTATACATTAGATGCACAGTGCCCCCACTCATATATATATATATTCAAGGCAGATTCAGTGAGATAAACTCTTAGCTATTAAGAGGGCTCGTGACTGCTCGTGTACGGACAAAACAACCTCTATGAGTGCTGCTCACCTCCACTACAGACGTATAGATCTGGAGTATCTGCTCTTCTCCCGTGACCTGTCGGATGCTGATCTTGCAGGAGAGCTGAGACGAGGAGTGGCTATATCGCTCCAAAGAGAAGGCACACTGCAGGGGATGCTGGTTACTGGCCCACACCTGAGAAAAGGAGAACTCCTGCCGAGCAAGGAGAGACAGAGGGCGAACAGGGTGAACATCACCATGAAGGGATTTGCCATGGCAGACAGCAAACTCATTAAATCCCTGCTAAAGACATTTGTTTTTTTTTAATCTTGCTTCGCCATCCACTTTGCTGTTTACATGCTTAATTAAGAGTGAATGAGCGGCCTCGTTACACAATCAATGAAGTTAGCTAATCAGGAATTTTTTAACCCATCAAAAGGAAAAACAGCAGGTGTTGGAGATCTTGGAACGAATCGATGATGGGAGAGTCAAACTGGTGGGTAAAGTCTTCTTCAGCACACTCTAAAGATTTTCAGTTAAGTCAAGTTCTGGTAGTGGCCAATCCATGTATAAAAATATGTTTCAAACTTCCTGAACAGTTCTGTCACAATCTGAGCCGATGAAACTTGATATCATTACATAAAACTGCTGAACCCCGAATTGATCAACCGAATTGATAATGGTGCCCCGATAGGCTTGTGTGGGAAAGCCAGTGTTATACCACTATTATAAATATTCCAAAGCTGCACTCACATTGATGGAAAACATGATGATGATAATACCATGAAGTCATCCTTTTGAATTCATTTTACTGGAGAATTCCATTTTGTCCCTCTCTGCATTCCTCCTGTGAAGCTTACGTAAATGGCAATCTTTAGATAACAATCTATTATGTGATTATGGATTTAGGGCAAAGATGGCTCGGTTTACACAGTTTGAATTACATTTCTCCAAAAAGATCCATTTTGACTTCCATAACTTACAACTGTGTGACCCAGACAGAGGTACAGTGAGAACAGGTCAAAACACTGTTTTACAGATGAATCATTCTCTCTTCATATCCATCAGACGAGAAGATGGCCACTTATAAAGCCTCCTTTAGGAGAGAGTAGTGTCTAAATGAGAGCTTATGGCCGTCTTCCTTGTAAGACATTCTCCGCTATCTAAGAAAGCCTTACTGGCATTCTGAAGGGGCTCTGGTGGGCTAATTCTACTAATAGGATGTCACTGGTGGGATAAACATCACAGGGCAGTGCAACATAGACCCCAAGGAAGATATACTATGATATATATATGTGTGTGCATGTGTGTGTGTGTGTGTGTATGTGTGTATAAGTGTATATGTATTCCTGCCTGGCAGTCATAATTAAGTTTGTAATGGTGCATGTGTGGGAGAGATAGCTAGCCTTAGTGAACTCCTGCTGTGCCCTTGCCACTGCCCTTTAGCTTTGATGTGACCGTGCAAGAAAAAGAGAGGTTGACGGAAGAAAGAGACCCCAGGAGGAGACCAGGGACCAGAGAAGATGAAGGTGCACAGCTTCCCTCCGCACGCATGACCGAGAAGCTAAGTGTGATATAAATTAGGAGACACATCGACTTACAGTAAACATGCCTATTACTTTAAATGCTTTCCGTCTCCACACAAAAATAAAGGAACGGCTACCTGGCAGGTGGTGAAAGGCTTGATGCTCCAGAGTAACTGTGGAACATCCTGGATGGACACCTGGAGGCTGAAAGAGTTTCCCCTAAACAGCATCATTTTAGGTTCCTCCAGCAGCCGCCCGCCCCTGCTGCGCTCCCCCACAGCCACCTCCTGATAAGCACAAGTAAAAGCAGAGACCATTTTTTGGTAGAGGTTAGCGGATACACAAAAAGCTTTATATTCAAATAACTGGTATACACAACATGTCATGGTTCAGCAGGATTCAGCTGGTGAATATATTGATTTTTGAGATCATTGAGTGTTTATAACAAACACATTTGCGAGGGCTACCGAAGATGAATGATGATTTATCTAGGGGGAATCAATTAATCATCAAACACATTCAGCTCTGTTGTATTATCCACCTCTTTCTCTTTTCACAGAACATTGGCACTTGCTGTTTAAACTGTTTATAACACAAAGCAAGTGAGTTGAAGATATCACTTCAGCCTTTTGAAAAGGATGAATGAATGCTGCTATTGACATCGGTGAATATTTGCTGACATTCATACACCGAAAAATCCATAATAATATAATGAACAAACTTAAAGTAAGATTAATTGAGAATGCAAACACATTCCAAATACGTAATGGGGGTAATTTTATTCACAGCAAAGCCTGAAAGAGAAAAGATTCATTGTGATCATTTTCAGGATTTTGTCTTTAATATTTTAATTTCCCTAATAATTCTGTCACATTCAATTTAATGTCAGAGTTTCCCTTGTCTTTAAACATTGTTTTAGCCACAAGCCCCCATGCAAAGACTTTCAAAATCAAATACATTTATTTAATTGAGTTTTAAGTTAAAAACACTGTGTCGCTTGATATGTATATACCAAGTTTTCCTCCTACATTGGAGGACTATGTAGACATAACATGTAGTTTGAAAACCTACCCAGTGTTTTAGAGCTCTACAAGCCAGTACTGAATGAAATAAGAATGAGAATCCAGCATTTCAATAGATTAAATATAGGTGAAAAAAGATGAAAACATATATTCATTATACAATTTGGTTATGATGCAGTGATTTCCCTGTCTGACATTGAGACGAAAGCATCAAGTCTGTGACCCCATGGCATAACGATACCTCTTCAATCTTCTCTGGAAATTCTCTTTTATGCTCTCAAGGTACCATCTTTCATTATAGATTTCCCACTTTAGATTCCTCTCTTTCGTAACTCATCTTTTCAACACATAAAATGCTTCACAGATCAGAGGAAGGGCTTCATGGTGGTGTGGTGGTTAGCACTATTGCCCACCAGTAAAATGTTTCTTGCATTTGTCGGGGCACTCCGGCTTCCTCCCACCATCAAAAAACATTCATGTTAAGTTAATTGAAGTCTCTAAATTCACCCTATGGGTGAGTGTGCATGCTTATCTCTGGGTTGGCCCTTTGATGAACAAGCATACCATTCAGGGCGAATCTTGCCTTTAAAAAACAGAATTTGATTATGCTGAAATGGATGGGTGAAAGATGTAGAGAAACACTTGGCTAGTTGAACGATTTTAACCCATAAAGGATTCATATTTGTAGACAATGTGCTTGGTGTCATTGCCATTTTGCAGGATGAAAAATACACATCCTGCTGCTACTTCATTAATAAGGTGAGTTCAGAAATAGGCATTATTTTCCTTGACTATAATTTGACCTTTACCATGCGTCATTCATGAGGTACCATGGCTTGGTTCATGGTGACTTTCTGTTTGTCTTACTACTTTTAGATTGCCATCAGTCAGGCAAAGGTTTTTGGTCCTCAGAGCTTTCTGCTTATAAAAACATCTCCAGATGGGGTAAAGACTGGATTCAGCTTTCGGGGAAAATGGATTATAATGGTGGTGTCACTGCCTGTTGTTTTGAGGGTATTCTTCATACACAGGAGGATTTTTGTTTTTGTCATCCAAAGCTACTTCCTTTCTACCAATGGTTAATTTTTCACATTTATTTCTATATTTTACTGATCCACTAAGTTTTCAATAATATTTTGTTTTCTGCACTTGCAGATTATTCAGCGCTAGAGTTTTCTATTGTCCCTGTTAAAGGCATGTGGGCTATTGAGTACGTCTCAATAGCTAAAAAGACAGAATGAAAACAGGGTTGTCGATTTACTTCCCTCTTATATGTGAACACCCAATGCGAAAAGAACCACATGGGGAGTGGGTTGATTTACCTCAGAAAATTTGAAAACCTGGACTCAAAACTGATTTTCTTTGTATGGAATGACAAAAAGAACATTTTTTTCCCTCCATTGTCAAAATGGTTTTGTGCTGTGCTGCATGCATGGTGGGAATCTTTAACTTGGATTTGCAGCAAAGACTGGAGAACAGGGGACAGTGTAAAGCGCAAAAGCTGTCTTGAACCAGATCGATAATCAGGCTCACTTGGGAAATTATTTGTCGCATGAAACACAAAAGAAAAAAAACCCAATACAAAGGAACAAATGAACAAATCACCATGTCTGACTGATGGAGAGGAGAAAGTTGGCTCTTAGTACCTACATTCAATTTTTCATTGTTGAAACTCAATTTTTCCTTTTGAATGAGGCCAAATCTGAAGCAGGGAAAGTGTTGCTGAGAGGCAACTCACAGCAGCAGTGAAAATTTGCGCGCGCTTCTATGTTTAATTTGCTGCTAAATTTACGTTTTTGAAATATAATGTGCTTGAGAGAAAAAGAGCCTTGTGATTTAGGCTGGGTTCGTGATTCAAGGAGAGGAATGAACTTTTTCTCTGAGCACCACTCAGGAGTTCACTGATGAACTGCGGCGCCATCTCAGACTGCCTTGTTCAACTACCTGCCACATGGAAAGCAACGCAGAAACACATTTAATTAACAAAGAGCAAATTAAACTATGTAAAGAAAGGGCAAAGCAGCAACCTTCGAGCATCTGTTATCTTTGTAATTAAAACTCCCTTTTTGTCTCCTCATCATCAAGCATCTCCCAGAGGTAGTGACACGAAACAAGAGAATCTTTACCAGAGCACGAGAAACTCTGGCAACAATTATTCCAGAAAAAAAACCCTCAAAAATTTCATAGACGGCATTATAAATTTGAACTCTATGGAATACTTCCTTTTTTTTCTCTGATCAATGCTAAGCTTTGCAGAGGCGGGCTCTCAGAAGAGTCTTTATAATTTAATTAATTTATTTTCCTTTCATCAAAAAACATTTAATGGACATCTCGAGCCAGAGATGAGACATCTGGTAGAATATTTGAGTGTTATTTACTGCATGTGTAGTGTGTTATGTGCTCTCAGTAATACAATGTACCAATGTCTAAGGTGCATGTTGCTAAATGGGGAACCAACTTTAATATGCAATTATTTTTCAGTCTGTGAACAAAAATTGCTTTAACAATCCAAAGGCTTTTGTATTTTTAGATTGAGACTTTCCATGTTTTTAATGCAACTTCTATAAGAACATGCATGTAAAAAATATATTTCTCAATGTCAGTAAATTCTTAAGACACTCAGAGGGGGAACAAGTTCACAAAGTTCACATGTGAACTTGAAGTCTTTTTATTAGTAGTTTATATCCATTAGCTCTTCGCCCTAGAAATCAGACTTCACAGTGATCTTTCTCATACTTAGTTGTACCTGAAATGCATGGGGGGTGTCGTCCACACAGTACACCCTGAGGGTGAAGCCCAGAGCGTTACTCGTATCTGGACTCCCAAACACAGCCAGTCTCAGCCGCTTGGCCGCCTCCTGGTTCAGGGGCTCTCCCACCAGTGCGTAGCGACCCGGCTGTCCCAGCAGCACGTGGCACCGCTGGGCCTCCAGTAGACAGTAGCAGGAAGTGCTCTCCTCATCCACAGATATCACGTCCTTGGGATGTACACAAGACAGAGGAGATCAGGTTTAGCTGCAGAGCACCGGTCAAATAGTCTGAGACATCAGGAGACCATTCTGAGATTGGATATTAGTCCAAATACTCATAGTCTTTCTATGAATTTTACATTTACTGTATATCTAATGCAGTTTTATTACTGTTTTTTAGCATCATTACAATTGAGTAGCTCAACTTTAGGATAAATTAGGATGAATTAGGATAAAACCTTTTTTGCTGGCAAAAGAATTGGCCAAGGAGTTAAAAACAAAATAAATAAATTAAAACCAGATATCTACCCATTCTAAGTTCATATATATGAATTGTTTTAGATTTATTGTAAGGAATATTATTGGGGAACATCACAGAAAATAACCTGGAAATATTCCAGGGCAGCGAATATAATGAACTGAGTGAAGCTGAATGAGGGCAGAATGAATAATGAGGCATCTCTCTCAACAGATGGGGATACAGTAACACTGACAAAACAGATTAGCAGGGCGCAGTTGTATCCGATGGCCAGTTGTTCCTTATCTCGTGCTAAATTCTCCCCCCGAATCACCTTTGAAACATAACTGTGACCCAGAAGTCTCCTCCACATATGGCCTGCCTGTGGCATGTAAAAAAGTGCAGAGCAATTTAGTGGCCCCTCAGCCTCTGAAATTCGCCCCATTAGCAATACAGCATACATGACGGATATCCATGACATAGCTCATCCCCACCAGGCAGCTGGGGAAGAAATGACGGAGTCTAACAAGTTTAAAAAGTGCAGGCTTAAACAGGGATGGCACAGGGAGAAGAGGGGGAGGAAGAGAAAAAAGAGGAAGACAGATTGGGAAAGAGACCTCCATTTCCCATTATGGCACTAATTCTAGAGATTAGGTTTTGAGTAAGCATCCTTCCTGAGATAAAGGCCTCATTATTTCTCTGTGACAGAGATGGGCCGCAGTGTTTCTTAAAAAATGTCTTCCCCTCTCTTTGTAAACCTGCTTCCATCTTTCTGTCTGTCTCATCCCTCCTGATGAAATCCTCCCTTATTGTTTTTTTTTTCCGTGATGGCATATAGCGCACATCAGTGAAGGACATTTTGATAGCTCTCTTTTGTGCAACATATCTGTTGGCAAATTACATCAGTGTAAATGTCACACAGATTGAGCGGGCCAGGCGGGTAGAGAGCCACATACTCCCAAGTTCAAGCAAACCCTGTAGGTCGCTCTGAAATAACAAGGTCCCCAAAGCCTTTTGATGAGGTTAGTTAAACATTAAAAGAGCATCTGAGATGTGTCTACTCTAGTGTAAAAAAGGCCACGGAATGAATGGAGGCGTATAGACCGAATGCAGGTGTCTGAGTGCTTCTCAGTGCTACTGAAGTCGTTATAAAATGCAGAGCTAAAGGATTTTTTAGAAGGCTAGATGTGAGAAAAAGAATCACAGTTTCAATGACAGAAATAGCATTAGAATTGATTTATAGTCTTAAATATTTTAAAAGATACACTTTCCAGTTGAGATCTATTTCTGGATGCTCACCAAGGTATTGGGAAGGAGTGGGTACTTTAACCTTTTAGCAATTTGTGAATTCTCTTTTGACTAAGAGAATAGAACATTTTCAGATCGACCTTTTCTGCTTATTTTAAAAACATATCCATTATAAGGATTTTTTGTATCTATTGCTGGTTTCACCAAAGTTGTTTTTATTTTCTCTCACAATTGAGAGATATAAAATACCAAGAGACCTTTCTGATCAAGATGAAAAATCTGATTTCAGAGTGAATAGATTCTAGTCAATTTTGAAAAAAAATTATATTCTCAAGACATGCTTTAAATTCTGGATGTATACAGTATAATGATGATTATCATGCAGACAGGTTGTAAAAGGGAGAGATTTAAAATGAAATGGAAATAATCATTAATGTGGGAAAAGTAAAATGCTGTAATTTGCATTTGGGCTGATATATTTCTTAAAATAGAGCATGCTAGACTGAATTTCATGCGCTGGGAGAGAAAATGGCTCTGGCGTTGCATCACTACACAGCAGGATGAACATTTTTCATTAGATCAGGTTGCAGTGGGTTATCGGGTCAAACCTTTAATCTGGTTGTGGTGAAATCTGCAGGTAAGTACTTTTGCGCCAATGATCAGAAATGTGACCCTGCTAACCACAAGTGAAACTAAATCTGGGCTGGCTCACCTCCCACTTGTTGTCCTGGGTTTGTCTCCTTAAACGGATGGTCCAGTTGTCTGCAGCCACTTCTGCACAATGTGAGATGGTCATGGCAACTGGACAGGACAGGTTGAGGCCTGGTGGGCCATACATGACCGCAGGGCTCAGAAAGATCTCTGACCCGTCCTCGGACACAGCGCTGTTCACGTAGAAACAACATAAATGTGCATTTAATTGGCTCAAACAATTATTGATTCATTCAAAAGGAAATTAGTGAAAATCACATACGTTTATTAAAATTTAAAAACAACGAATGGGGGCCTCTTTACAAATTAACAACTGCACAAACAAGCACTAAACACTGCAACCTTTGGTTTAACACAAAGTAAATTCAAATCCTTTGACATTCATAATGAATCAGTCTCTTACAAGCTGGCACTCAGGCACACAGATAGTGGAAGATTAAAGCACCAAGACTAATGGACAGTGAGGCTGGGGAGGACAGGCTTTAGCACAGAGCATGTAAGCTTCGTGGGTCGATGGAGCTTATGAAGCCTGCTTCGGCCAGCCTGGTGACAGATTAGCCAGGCCAAGCTGCTCTTGGCCAGGGGCCCAAACTTGGCTGGAAACCGTAAAGACTGAGAGCAATCGATGGGACCACCATCAGTCATGCAGCTGGCCCGGCTGGATACCGCACATGCACAGGACATAATATTGGTGCTGTTGTCAGTGCAGCAGCGTGGATGTTTCTCAGCATCATTAATATAACGGTGGAGGGGACAGACCCTGACGTGAAGGCACCGATCACAAATGTGAAAGGTGTGTGGATCCACGCACATATATGCACGGGAAGCTTCACCAGACTGCTTGAAGACCATCATTTTTTACAAGTTACATGTGGAATGTTAATACAAACACACCGTACGGGTAAACGTGACATTCACTAGAAGAACGCAGCACATATTTGCCCAGATAGTTAGTTCATACTGGAGCTGTATTTTCATTTATCGTTGTATTAGACAACCCAAAACTGAGACGACGATACCTTTCAAAAGAAATAAACAAGCACAACCCAAAAACAGTAGGCAGGAACAATGATGATTTCCAAGGTTATCTCAGAAAAATAATCTGATGAAAATACTTAGAAAAAAATGCGATTTGACTGAAAAAACACATAAACTGAATCGTAGAATCCAACATGACTTGAAAAAATATATTTATGATGCCAGCTCATCAACGTTTTCCAAATACCTGTCTGCCACAGGGGTCTTTTGTAAGTTTTATCCCCAAGGAATAATAAGTCACTTTTTACCATTACAAACTGGGTTAGAACATCAAAAAATAGTGACGGGTAACCTTTTTTTTCACAAGATTAATGCTATGATTTGACTCTAGAAAGGGTTAGTGGTCGTCTAACTCTGCATTCTTCACCTGTAAGGTGCAGGACAGGTGCATATCAGAATACCAAGAAATCCCTTCAGGCACAACATATGGTCAAGCTTTTTTAAGCCTCTATTGTCTTATGCTAGGTGTCGTAAGTAGCTTTATTTTCCCATTAAGCTCTTTCCAATCAACACAACCGAATTACAAAATCTTCTGTGTAAAAATAAAATCACACTTCGGGGCAGCAACTTGTCAAAGCAGCTGCACTTTTTGTGCTAATCAGCCTCCTGGCTCTGTAGAAACCAAGGTTACCTGCCGCTCTGACTGTGATGATTAGGCAGGCTGCCTGTGAACGAAGATTAAACGGCAGTTATTTAGCAACCCTGATTGTGTTTATAACAAAGAGCTCTCACTCTTCAGTTGCTGCTACAATTAAAGTTTTTAATTAAGCACCTTTTTTACAAACTTTTTTTACGTCTTATTTTTAGAATTTTCACAAACTAATATCCCATTTGATTATATATTTCAGTGTTAGAGTGAGCACAACAACACAGAAGCTGTAACAAGTCAACTGGAAAGCAAACAAGCTTGAATTTGACCAAACTGCTTTTACGCTGGACAACAATGTAGCTTACTTTGTGGTACTCCTGGTGATGGAAAAAAAAAACATATATAAAACAAATCTCCTTCTTGCCTCCGCTGCTCTAGATTTAATCCACAGAATGTGATGTGAACAGCTGCCGTGTGACAGAGCTTTCTATCAAAGAAATAGCCCCTAAGAAAACTGCTGACAGCACTTTATTTTATTACTAACTTGTCAAATGTTAATACCCTACACTTGTCACTGTGGTGTACAGCTATACAGCATTTTATGCAAGCCAAGAAGTTAATAAAAAAAAATCTAACAGATTTTGCGCAGCTCCCCATTGAGCTACAAAATCCTTTCCAGTTGTTACACATATGCAGTAGTTTGTCCCCTCTAAAACCTTTTTTTCTAAACAAGGTTTAATATCCAACGTGATCTTTGATTAAAAAATGCATGTTTCATGATCTTAGTCACTAACTCCTTAAACGGTATTACAAAAAAAGAGACCTCAAATTCACTTAGCAGCAGCTTTGAAATGGAAAAAAAGGAACCAGCTTTGGTTTTTGTATTTACAAAGGGAATCTTTTGACTGTTTTAATGTTCAAAGCCCTCATTTCAATTGTGACATTAAAAAAAAACTAACACCTCATCAAAACCTTCTAAACTTTCTAACCTTCTAAAAATTTTAGAAGACAACTATGCCAACTCTGATCTAACAAAAAAAAGAGCCATAATAATTTCCTCTATTTTGGCTATTTCAAAACACAGGTTGTAAATGTATAATTGTGCTACAGTACAACAATCAGCAAAAAAGAGTTTGATTGATAAAAAAAAAACGGATTCCATTGGAGGAACCTCCAGGATGGAAAGGATTAAAGATGAAAAAAATCACTATTTCTAGATTAATACTGGATTTAATGATATTGCAAAAGTTGCGTCTCAATCCTCTAAGAATATCACCAGACTGCTTCTACTCTACATTTCTGCCGCTTCTTAATGAATCTTTTCAGCTCCTTCATTCTTTCAGATCAATCCCACTCAGTAAAGATTTAAACAGGCAAGTAGGTTTCCAGCCAAAAGCTCCACAATCGAACTAACTTTGCTTCTTAGGAGGCAAAAAGTTCCCTTCAGAAAGTGAGATAAACACAAAGCTCAGAGAGTCATTAAACATTTATCTGACATAATATCATGATTGCAAATAAAACTGTAAAAATGTTCTTTAGAGGTGTATTTCATGTGTTTTGCACTGACATTTTATTATTCATGAATTAAGGGAGGTCATTGTAAAATTTAAAGGATTTCTCGGAGTCCATGAGGAAACTGTCAATACTGAATGGAGGAGAGTTAAACCAGAGATAACCTCAAATCAAAATTTCAGAAAAGAGGATGTTAATCTGTCACGGGTTAAACTGATTTATAGATGATCTGTCCCTACCGAGAGAATGAGGAAAATAGCAAAACTAATGCTCAGCTCATCCATTCAGATATTTGCGTTGCATGATTTTTTGGTACATTTTGCCACCCATGCTGACTTTGGCCTTTGTCCTTGGTCAAACCCTCTGTGTCTTGTCGAGCTGGAGAAGATCACTCACAAAGCAACTTCTTGACGCCCAGGCGCCTCACAAAAAGCTCTTTAGAGCTCCTTAAAGTGAGCCGCAGCTGATCGATTCCTGCTCCTTGCAAAGGAAAGCGACGTCTTATGTAGATGGCCGAGGTTTGAAAGGGAAGAAAGGATTCAATTTCTCCCCTGGACTCCGTGGCTGTCAGAAGATAGGCTTTGACTGACAGCTCAGTGGTGCACGCTTCCTGCAGCTACTTAAACGACAGCCGCGGAAGCAAACAGCATCAGCCTTATCAGAGCAAAGCAGCAGCCTGGAGGGCAACAGTTTGGAGGAACAGGGGGGACTTAAGGCAAGGGAGTGTGCAGCTAGCCCACTAAGTTCGCTCTGAGCCACAGCCTATATCTGACCTTGGATAGGTTTCTTTTCCCTCATGACCTTAAGTAGTTAATGGGTGGGTGGATTCCAAAGTGTTGACAGCTACATTTCAGATGGCTCTAAATGTCCCTCTGATTCTTCTTCAGAAATCAAATTCCATTCAGAAGCCCCAGGGGTTACACAGACAGACTGACATTGTGATACCGTTTGCTTTAAATCGAGAATGCATCCAAGAAAAAAACTGACATCTTTTCAGGCTGTGTGGCAGGAGAAGTCAAAGGTATCCAATTCTTTTTTCAAATAGGGCTTATCTATTGTGCCATTTTCTCCTTGAGCAAGAGCTTTGTGAAAATCTCAAACAACAAAGTTTCTGAAATAGACTCTTGCCGCTTCTACATTCTAAAGCGTATCATGTCTCAGCCCATCATACAAAACCAGATCAATATCAGCCATCATTCAAACTTTACAGAATTCAGAATATACACTACTCTATCCAGTCAAGATAGAAAGAAATACTGTCAGTTATATTTACAAACTCAAAAACCCAGACATGTGAAGTGCATTTTCCTGTGCTGAGGCAGTTGCTTAAGGCTGTAATGCAACATGTCTACAGCTGCCAATGCATTTGTGACACATCATGTCCTCCCCTGTAGTGTCTGCAAGATATAAAACGACCGCATGCTGGGTGAGAACATATGCGTCCGTGTGTGCATATGTGCGCTACACATGCCTAGGCGCCGTCTTATTAAGATAGGGAGTGTGTTTAGCTTTGCATGTTTGTGACTCTCGTTCCGCAGTAAAAGAGGAAGACAACTTTGCAGGTAGATGGGTGAGAGATGGATCACAAAAGGCTCAAAAATGAGAAGACAGCTGCCTAGGAAACAGACTGCAGCACCTCAGCGAGAGTCCCTCACCTGCTGTCCTCCTGGCTGATGCTCATATACATTTCCCAGGTAGTGTCTTCTGCAATCCCCCCGTGAGGCACCAGCAGACTAATGCCTGCAGAGAAGGAAACCAAGCAAGAGCCGATCAGCACACAGCCCTACACGCACACACGTGACACACACCTGCTCAGCTGTCAGCTCTCCTTACTGAGGGTGACAGCGAGGGAGGTGATGGCCCCAGAAAAAAGGTGATGGAAACAAGTCTCAAAGGCCCCGTGAATCAATGCTGCTAGCAATTTGTTTGCCACGAACCGCCACACACACACACACACCGACCGGCTCCTTCGCAAACAGCAGCGCGCACAGACATAAGCAACATTGTACGGCATCATAAACAATTACTGCCAATCTGGCAGTAGATGAAGCCCCTGGAGGGGACGGGAAGATGAATGTAGGCCACGAGGAAGAGATGTCTGAATAACGTTGTAGACTAAGCAGGAAATGTTTACGTCACAGCGCTTCTCACGGTATGCGTCATATGTTTTCAAATGTTAAAGCCATAAATCTAGATTAGGTTTTTAAATATATATAGCTGGTGGAAACTTTTAAAATCAGGTGTTCGCTGTGGTCAGAAAAACTTTTTTTCCCGCCTTTTATATAATTAGCAACAAATGACAACTATTTATGTGAATTTAAACTAAATCTACATAATCCATCAGCTGTGCATGTAAATCTAGTTTCACATAAAAAAACCTAAGTATACACTCACTCTCAAAGGGTCTGACATGGGCTCACCTGTATTGGGGACCACCAGCCTGCCTCCAGCACGGCCAAACACAGCCGTTGCTTTGTGAAGCGGCCGGCTGGCAGTTGAATAAACTTGGGGCGTGAAAAGGTTTTTTCCTCTTCTGCCCAGTGTTGTCCCCACTGCAACCCCTCTGTAGTCCGGAGCCAAGCCCCGCGGAAATGTCTGAGGGTGGGACATGACGTGGTACTCTGCCCTTTCCGATGCCCCTGTGGAAACAGTGACAGCTCTGACACTATGTTGCACTGAAGACTTGTCCTTTAAAAAACAAAAAAAAACTTGGAATCAATTTAAGCCTGTTTTTCAGAGAGCCTGAGAGATAACTTTCACTGCAGGAAAACAGCTTTGTTTACACTCTGAAATATGGTTACAATGAAAACACTCACTCTCAGCCCGGCTGTTCATTAAAGCCAGTCTCCAAATAGTGACCGAAACGGGGCTTAGAAAGCCTGTCTCTGTCAAGGTTTTGCCTCCAGCTGAGACAATGAGCCTGGGGCTATAGGAGGAGCTACACTTTGCATCTAAATAGCCCGAGAGGTGGGGTCAGTCTTCTCCTGTTGACACCACAGATTTTCAGCGAGCAGTGAAGCATCCCCCATGACAACCGCTGTTTTAGTCTTTTTGAAGTTCAGCATTTAGTCGTTAACCAGTGTGGGTTTTAGCAGGGAAAGTTGATGGATCCGTCTCAGAATCCAAAAGCATCTCCCTCATCAAAGTGAAAGTCTTGATGCAATTTCAGTGGCTGCGTGACAGAAATATTTAATTTAAGGTAAAATTGTAATGAAATGGGAAATAAGCTGCACACCATTTTTGTTCACCCGGCTGTAAACAGGTTTACAGCTAATTTAGGTCTATAGATATTGAAATAAACTGGACATAAAATAAACTGAAGCCAGTGTGAAAGTGCTATTTTTTTGGGAGCTGGCTCCAAAATGACCTCGAGCTAAACATGCTTTGGTTTCAAAAACATCGATGGAATAAAACAGATGGACGAATTCGCAGCGTCATCACCTACTAGTTTGTTAACTCACATTTTCAAGCTGTGATTGTAGCATTTTGGCAGAGGCTATATTTCTCTTTTCAAACGGAAAGCCTCAAGCAAACAGTGAATCAGACTGAATTGTAGAAGCTACACTGCTGTTATTTGGTGTCTCGGCAGCCATACATGAGTCACACCCTCATGCAAATCCTAATTTTAATAACAAACAAAATGAACAACGTATTAACGTCCAGAGTGTGTAAAAATGGTGATTGAGCTCATGAATTAATTAAGAAAATGTCCTTTGAGTTGGCTTCTAGTTAGAATACAAATTAATTACAAATCTTGGTTTGGCCTTGCTTTTGAAAACAGAGGTTGTTCTCAGCATTCAAAGTTTCAAATATGGTAACTTCAGGTTATTATTATGCTATTTAGGCTGAATCCACAGCATAAGACAGCCGTGCAGGAAGGACTACACTGAGAAATTTTGTTTGGTGTCAGATCTGACTGCTCACATCCCCATTTACATTTAGATATTCAGCAGAGGCTTTTATCCATAACTACTTACAGGCTCTTGTTTCCTTGCCATTGGCATCGAGTGTTATCAATCTCTTTTTAAAAGAACGTCACATGTAGAAGATGTAAGTGTGAATTTGGTGTGTTAGGTTGTTAGCGGTGGTAAGAGAAGGAAGTATTCTCGGAAGAGATATTTTGAAGAGGTTAGTGAATGTAGATGATTCTGCTCTGATTGCATTTAGCTACTCTTAACACCTACGTGGAACCACAACAGTCTGGGCCTGAGACTGGCTTATAGGTTTGAAAAGAAGAGAGGAGTGCTTTGTAATCTTTTCATAGGTTCCTCACCTTGTACTTACATTACAAAAATATCATTAAGATCTTACTTTTTTTTTAAAAACATCAAACTACAAGATGATTCACATTAGAGGCCAATTATCTTTCTATATTTCTTTCTTAGGGATGGCGATCTGGCCAGTTGTTAAACAAGCATCTGTGAACACAGACTATGCTACGCAAGTGCAAAAAGCATGCCAGGCATAGTAATATGGGGGACATGAATTGGTGAATGGTCAATTTGTTATGTATGAAAGCTTTCTCAGAAATTGCCTTAGGTGCAAAGTACATTCAAAGCAAGATGGATTATCCCTCTGACTGCTACTAAAGAGCGGCAGGCACTCTTCATCCCCTGCCCTTCGGAAAATAGTTGACTACCACAGAAATGAGCATTTCTGTTGTTTTGTTTTCCTACCTTTGGCCTTAAGTTCAGGCAGCGGATCAAGAAGTGAGCATTCAGCCATTATCTCCTTGTCAATGGAGTCTTGGAAACACATGGGGCTGGTGTAGGTACGCGACACTGTCAGATCAGGTTGCATGGATGAATTAATAAGCAATGGGTTTGCTGAAAAACACACAGGTGGAAAGTCATGTTTAATCAGTGACATTAAGTCTATGAGATTTCTGCATAGTGACACTTTAGATAAGGGAGCTGCTTTTACAGACATTTAAAACCCAAAGGGTATGTCAAAACCATTCTCGTTTATTAGTAACTTTTGATAGCATTTTTTCACCTTGGAAACGATAACAGTCTCTAGCAACAATGCCTCACTTAAAGATAGAAAACAACAACAGGCAGGTATTTTATAGAGTGGCTTTGCTTTAAAGTGAATCTAAGTCAAGTGCTCTTGACTTCTAATATCAATTAATCAGCTCCTATTTATAAGTTTCTCTTGCATCAAGCATTTGCTAATGAAGCCCTGACTGTCCGACACAGTCAATCTTATCTACTGATCTTGCTTCTGTAAAGGGAAATTATTTTTCTAACTAATTCAACGTCAGCCATGTTTCTGTGCCTAAAAACTCACAGGTAGACATATACCCCTAAATGCAATGAAGTAAGAGAAAAGCAAACTGCAAGTTTATTTGTAAAGTATTTACAGGGATTGTGTGAATTATCCTTACAGTAACTCTTAATGGGACCACAACAAAGAAGTAAAATGAAATGATTACTGGGATGCAGTCGTGGGAGCTTTTAACTTTGCAAAATACAGGGGAGGAAAGGACATGCGGGTTATTGCGGAGGTATGGCAGTTTTAGCCCTTCTAACACAGGGAACCGAGACCAAGATTAAAGCTCTCCCTGCCTCCTGCTGTGTTATCAAAATGAACTTTATTATACCCCTGCTGCGGGCTCCTGCTGTGGCCAACCATAATGCCTCCCTTGTAAAAAATATGCCACAATCTGTAGGGCAAAACACATTACCCCACAGAGCTCTGATGTTTCAGCATTTGGGGAAACAAGAGCACAAATGCTTACTCCCTGGACTTGGCGAAAACAACATTAGGTCTCTAATAAATTGTATTTTTAATCATCTAATCATGAATAATAAAATTATGTTTTTTTTGTATATAGTATTATTCCAAAAAACCCAATGCAACAACAATGTACCCTAAAGACAACACGGTTATTAAGTATTCTGCTGCATCTATGGAACTAGAACAGAGATTAAAACAATAAGAGTGAAAATATAAACGGGCAATGTGCCTCTTTCCACACGGTTTCAGCAAAGGTTTATTACTTCAGGCATACAGATGTTTGCAATAAAGCAACAAATACAAAGCATGCTTTATTGATTAATCTGTTTATTAACAGACATTTGCACAATAGCTCAGTAGCAATAAGAACCTCTAAAAGCTCAAGTAAACAAGCTGAAAAATTAAGTACTGTCACTCTGCCTACTGCAGTATTTTAATAATTGATGTGTTGTATCATAATACAGAGGAAAAAATGCATAATTCATAACATTATAGAAATAATTATAGCCTGCTCTTTAAGTCTAAATGCGGTGACATCAACATGTGAATGCACATCTGGTTCTTAATATAGATAAATGGCAACAACTCAATACAAACATCTTGCATTTTGAAGTGTGGTTTATAAATGTTATTTTTCAATATTTGAAAAATATGATCACGTCCTATTTTATTACAAGGAAAAATTTCCATTTTAATTTGATTTTAGATAGATTTTATGTTTCAGAAACAGAATAAAAATTACATTCTATTATTGAATGGTTGCAGCCAGCTGTCATTCCTGAATTCTTTTTTCAATTAAAGCCTGTGGAATGTTTGTAACAACTCAATAAAAAGTTACGGTGCCATAGCCTTGACAAACCACTAAAGCTTCACAAACATGGCACTTGAGTTCATGACATCAACTTAGGGTAGAAATGTTTTTGCGTTTCCTTGTGTTCCTTTTACCGCTGGTTTCATTCACTGTTTGGTTGGGCATGAAAAATGATTTTCACCTCACAATATGCTAAATAAATAGGGTCAGGTTCTGCTGTGTGCGCCTCACTGAGCAACGACAAGATTCAAATGAACTCATTTGCACCAATGTGTGTGTGATGGCAGTTATATGAAAATGTTTGTGAAGTGGACATGTTTAATCATACTCTTACCGCAAAGTCAAGTGCAAAGGACAAAGGATATTTATAAGATGAAGAGCTGCCACATAAAACTCGTACATCCTGGATTTCTCTTAGATTTCTCATTGAGCTTTAAAAGATTCTTATTAGTTGAAAAATATCATAAGTCTAATAACATAAAGTGAGCACGCTTTGCATAAAAATTGAGACAGCGCCATGCAAAATGATCCAAAGTATCGACCCAGAAACCGAGCCGGTCGTAGGTGTCAATGATAACTGTCAGAGTCCGTCACGGATTTACCTTGACGTGAGGTCTTGAAGCTGAAAGACTGGAAGCCCCCGGTGAGGGCGGAGGAGTCGATAACATCTACCCCGTACTCGCTCTGGTTCCGCCGGTAAAGCGTCACAGCGACGATCAGCAGCACCACAGTCACAACCCCAGCAGCCAGGCCCGAATACAGCGCCACATCGCTGGTGCTCTCCACACCTATCAGAGAGGGACCGCACTTTTTTTTAGACGGATGGATTTAATAAGGGGTGCAATGGACACATTTTCTCCACAGCTCAAGTGAATATCATGTTACTGAGGAACACCGGCCGCTTTAAAGTTGTGGAAGACTTTCACTGAGAGGCAAGTCTACTTCACTTTCAAACTACCTCCGTGCCTCTTTTGTTTTCCAATACTTCCTCCTGATGCACAGCTTCATTGTTCCATTCTGCAGTTTTAAGGCCACTAATGAGGAACCACGGAAGGAAGTCGATTATAATCAAGCCAGCACCTGACTGTCATTTCAAACACCGCTTGGCTCTACTGTTGGAGGGTCTCTGCGTTCTACTGGGATAATGTGACAAAAATAATACATTAAATTAGCTCATCTGCAACGATTATGGTCTATCTGCTCCCACCAGTGCTGCAGCTTCCAACTTCACAAAGAAAGAGAATGAGTTGGAAACCGGAGCTGCTTGCTTGTTCTTAAAAGATAATAGGATCTTCACTAATACAGGACATGCTGAAAAATCCTCTAAGTACCCTGAAGCTCATACAAGGAAAAATTGACGAAAATATGCAAAGCTGTATTAACAGCTGTAGTTCCAGGTTAATTGAGGGCTCGGGAAGTTTTGGCAGCCTGACCGCATTATTCGAACCATTCTTTACAAACAAACAAACAAGAAAAAAGACATTTATGTTAAAGGACGAGTAAGGAGAACAGGAGAAGGCGTGCTTGTGGCTTGCTAGATATCAAATTGATTTTTTTTCTGTGCAAACTACACAGCAGCAAGTTCCTCATTTTCCTTTGCAAAAATTCAATATGAAGCTATGGATATTCTGTGGTTAACCACAGGCAGTTTGAGCTGATACGCTACACCAAATTAAACAAAAAAAAGGTATAATAGTTGCGTCTGCCATATTGAAACATACATTAAAGAGAGGTAGTTTCAGTCAGTAAAAAAAAGGAGAAATAGTTGAGTTGAGCTATAATTAACACTAGTATTAAACGTGTATTATGCTAATATTTTCTATCCAGCTAATTCAATTAAAACCTAAGTCTTTTTTAAAAAGCCCTCTTAAACTAACGGTTTACTGAAAAACATTTTCCATGTCTCTAAGGAAACTACAACATAAAAACAAATTTATTCTACTAAATTGTTGTCCCTACCATTTTTACACAATACATTTGTTTTTGTCTTTAAACTGTCACTTTACTTTTTTAGTTTTAAGAGTTTGTATTGGTGTCAATAGGTGCAATGCTATCACTACTTACTAACAAAAGAAAAAGATGTTGCCTGGTAGCTGCATGTCAGAATATTTTTACCAGAAATGACTAAGTCTCTACTTCAAGTGTAGAGCAATTTAAAGTGAGACATGTTGTGCGTCATTCTCCACAACCAAACCTGTTATGGGGATGTAACTGGAGTGATATGTTTTTTTGAGCTCATCTTTTTTAATGGGATGGATCTTGGTTTGATGGCTAAAAGCCTAACTTTATGCTCTGAATTCAGGTGAATTTTCACACAGCACAGTGTCGTTAAACCGACATGTTTCCTGTTTTTCAGGCATAACTGAATGCTCATGCATCCAGGGCACATAACGGTAATGTTTTTTTATCACCTTATTTGACTATATCAGTATTATGGCGATGATATTAGCCGCACTAGGAAAAAAAATTGTCAAAAAGGACAAACCGTTTGAAAACATTATAGCTTCAAAATTCAACATCCCCACTGCTGATGTATCTCTCTGTCCTCTTTTTAATCCTTTTGTCAGGAGAAGCACAACCTTTTGAAAGGCAGACCTATCAATATTTTTTGGAATACATTTCCCCAGTTGCAGCTGTGACCAGAAGCTGGAGGTAGAGCACTGCAGCACAACCACAGAACAAATCTGTTTTTGTTAGTGAAACGAATGTTATTTACTGATTGTTTTTTAGTGTTTATGTACTGAAACACAAACCAGACCAAGGGAGCAGAAGAGAAAATCACATCGAAACTCATTATTCATGTTTCAGAACCAGTGCAGAGGAAAAAACAAACCTGCCTCTGTTGGATGCATTGTTGGAACGACAAGCAAAGTAGCAGCCTACAGATCTACACTCCTTTCATGTTTTTATTGAGGTGAACAAACTGATGAGGAGAGAAAACTCACCCTGCGGCTTTGCATCATGGAGCAGCTTCCGATCTGCAGACGGAGACAAACATCCGAATCTGAGTTTGGTCCGTCACATTTTTTTTTTATACTCAAAGTGTGGCTTGATTCAATTGCCACTTGTATATGTATCCATGCCTGCACAACTGTGTCTGATGCATGTGGAGTGGAGTGGTTGAATAATGATGATGAATGAGGGTGTTAATGAGCATGATTATAATGACGATCGTGATCGGACTCAGTCCACCAGAAATTTTGAACAGTAAATCTACGATCTGAGAACACAATGCAACTGAGCTGTGAGGGTCAGTTTTATCTTTTTGCGATTTGCAAACACGCGAGGAAGTGTGTTTGGGCATGACTCACTCTGCGTACAGGAGGCTCCGGTGCAGTTTTCCGTGCCCACTGCCACTCCGTCACACAGTCTACCTCCGTGCTTGGGTTCAGGAGCCGTGCACTCTCTGCTGCGCTGCCTCTCGCAGGCCGGACTGCACAAAGACCACTCACTCCACTCCCCCCAGCCGCCGTCCACTGAGGGGTCAAATCCCAACACAAATGTTTTCATTTGGACGTTGCATTCTTAAGAAAAACTCCATTCGTGACGAAGGATTTTTCTCACAAGCGAGCACAACGGCAACGTTCAGTCATTTGAAAGTTAGTTGGAAAATTGCTTTCAGGGAAAGACTTTCAATGTGGCAGCTGAACCTGCTTTCAACATTTTCTTTCAGCTTGCCAAACTGTTGTTCAGTCTCGTAGAGTTGGAGTTTATGCAACACCCAATCAAGTCTTTTCAGATGTGCGTTCTCTTTAATCTCCCCTCTTCCTTTTAATCAAATGCACCGTTTTTGAGTTTGAACTCAGGAGAAAGAATCATTCAGAAGAAAGCGGCAAGCAGGAGAAAATGTACTACCCTCCGCTTATTTTTTTTTTCAAACGATGAAAATGTCACTTCATACATTTTGGTGGCTGAAATAATAATTATTGGGTTTGCATAAAAAATATTTGGTCGCAGTGAATAACAGTCATTTTGATAACTGAAGGGCTGCTCTGCATCTCAGAGCCAAAACTGCTACACTTTGTTTATCTCAGATTGCAGTTTTACTCAGTCTATCTGTTTCCAATAGGTTTTGTCTTAATTTGTTGCTTTATAAGGTCCAATGCCTTCAATTTCGGAAACAAGCCATTTTGACGCGTACACTGTGGACTTGCAACGCATTCATGCTGAAATGTAACTGACTCAAAAGAGACGACTGCTGCCAAAAATGTGTAGGTGGCTTCATTCTGTAGAAGGCACACCAAAATGAAGACGAGGATCCAAAGATTCCCAGTGGAGCTTCGCACTGCATTGTGAATGGTAACTGCTATTCACGACTCTGTTAGCGGTTTTAATGGATGACCAGTAGGCTCCTCAGTCTTACATCACAATACCCTGATGTATCTCCCTTCGGTTTATACAACAAGAAAAGGAATTAATTTACCACATGAATAAAGAAATGGTGTAAAATAAAAAGAATATAAGTGTTAAAGCTTGCAATAATGTACATCTTTACGATATAAAATAATTAATTTTCATGTGCATAGAGCCAGACAAAGAGTAAAAAATATACAATACAAGGTAAGAGACAGCAATCTGGTAGTGTGAACAAATTCTGTCTAAATTGAAAGCAAGAAGTTGTTGGGGTGGTATTTAGATAGAAAATGCACTCTGCTTCTAAGATATAGCCAATGTGACTTGAAGCCACCCGAAGGTGGAAACTTAACAACATCTTAGCCTTACTTTGCAAAGGGCACTCACTGAAAAACTTGGATATTCTACATTTCATTTGAGTGGTCTTATTGGCAGGAGGAAGTCTCTAAAAGTACTTTCCCACAGCCTTGAATGCTGTGCTTTTGCTCTTACCTGGACAAACTGTGTTGCATGTACTCTTCTGCACTGACATGCCCTCACAGAAGGCCCCTCCGTTTAGAGGAGCCGGGTTTGTGCACGTACGAGAGCGTTTCTGCACACCTCGGCCACAACGGACGTTACACGGGGACCAGTCTGTCCACGATGACCAGCCGCCATTCACTGCATGTGACAGAGAAAAGGAGGAACAGATACAATAAGAATAGCAGCGGCCTCACACTGTGAGGTTAACAAGACAGTTTCTGTCACATGAAGTAGCACTTGGATGACTGTATCACAAGACCGACTCTGAGGTTTCCTAAAATAATGCAAGATGATTGACTAATCTGCTGATTTGCTGTCACAAGACTGGAGAAGAAGTACTACTATTGTTCCATTATGCCTGGCACGGACTTCATTAGCAATACAGGTATTAATGATTGATGGGCATCAGCCATGGGGTTTCAAAAAGAATCAAATATATTCCTGTCAGCTAAATGCACACCCTGCATAACGAATAAAACAATGAGAGTCAAATAAGCACAGAAACACTACAGTTAAGTCTCTAATAAAAGAAGCTAGTGAGTATGAAATTATGATTTCACGCTGCTATAAAAATGTTGGGAGACATTATTTGCTGGCCGGCAGCTACATAAAGCGTTTTATAAGCGGTATTTAGTGCTGGCAGATAAAAGCTGGAGTGACCACATCACAGCTTTTCCATCATTAATAATGGAGGTCCTCTAAACATTGGGGCTTTGTCTCCTTGTTCAATACAAAACATCACTGGTCCATTAACTACTCATTAGCGGAAAAGACTGCTCACTTGTGCTTTCTATATTAATTCTTTTGTGGGAATTTGCTTGAGGTGGCAATTTGACACCATATGTTTGTGGAGGAAATGTATACTTCAGTGCAAGCGTGTGAGCTTTTAGGTTTGGCCACTGAAATGACACAGCAATCATCATTTCCTTCTGGCTGAGACAGCAAAAAATCATTTCAAATTTGATTCTTCTTGGGGGATGAGGCAATCTGGACCATAGCTTCTTACCGAACACTACAACCGTTGCTGTAGCACTGCGTCTCTTGGCCACAATGTTGCTGGCAACGCAGGTATAGTTTCCAGAGTCAGAGAGACGAGCTTCCGAGATGATGACATTATGGTCAGCTCTTTTATCAGTGGCACCATCGCCATCCAAGCTCAAAGGCTCCTCGTTTTTCAACCATTCCACCTGAAAACACAAAAATATAATCTTTCAGGAGGGCATTACAAAACCTAAAAAAATGAGGCAGAATATGCTGTATCAACCAAATCAATATCAGCAACTTCCTGTTAAAACAGGTCTTTACTGGGATATCATAAAACCACATTTGGTGCACCCAGCGGCTTGATGTACCCATAAGCAATATGAGATGATTATAGCATTATATTATAGCACATAGCATTTTATTTCCAATGATATGTGCCTGAGTAGATGTCAGCAAATCAGGATGTCCAGTTTTGAAATGAAGATGTTTGCCCATATTTGCTCAACCCTTCAGGATCTGTTGCCTTCAAACATTGTCCAGCTGGATTCCTTTACATTTTATGCCATTTTTAGATAAGCTGAATATTGTTATATAGGAAACAAGGAAGAGTTTGAGAGAACGTATCTGGACAGTAGCCAATGTTGCTCCAAAACCATATCTCAGCACTAGTATAGCTTTACAGATGAGAAAATGACCCATGCTTAGTGCATTTTTAATGCCTGCATGAAAATTCTAAGTTCAGACTGCAGGATGTTTCTTTCCACTCGACCGGAGCCCATCTTAAAATGAGCTGAGGACAGAGAAGGAAGCCTTTTTTATGCATACAGTTTCGTATAAGTTATTTTCTTTGATTGTTGGAGAGTTTCTTTTCATTTGTGTTTGCAGAGACAAACTGTGTTCACAGTTTTTCAGAGGATTTCCTGAATCTATGCTAGGATTTGCTCACACGGACAAAAGTGTTTTTCCTCTCAGACTGGAGAAGTTTGCATTAAAATACTCCCATATTCTTTCACAGAGCAACCCGTTGCCACTTAATCCTCTATTATGTGCCTCTTTGAACTTTGCACAAGGTTTAAAGTGTTTTCTTTTCAAGCGGTTTTCTGCCATCAAAATTGAAAAGACATACACAAATAAAACAAACAAATAAAATATATACTTTGTTTCCATTGTTTATATTAGCCACCAACAGAAAGTATTCTAAGTATGATCGAATGTGTATTACATATTCAAGTCACTTGTCTTAAATTTTTGTTACTACTCTGCTCATTTACAACTAACTTATTCATCACTAAAAAAATCCTTTAAACAGTGAATAAATTTGATTAATTCTAACAACTCTTCACCTTTGAATAAACGTGACATGCTTTCCTTTCGTATTAGTAGTTAATTCACAGGGTTTGTGTGCGACAGATAGACAGGGTCTAATTACAAGATCAAGAGTTTGATGGAAGAACATAATATGGTTGACAACTACTCCGAAGTAGTCATGTAGTAGGTAGGTCACATCAGCTAGCGTTGCCAATTCATTGGCTGTGCAGTAAGTGAAAGTAATAAGGAATTACAAAAAAAAGGACGTTCTGTTGATGCTCCTCTGCTTGCATGACTGGCTCTGTAAATTGCTATTAATGTGCCACTTGCGCAAGCTGTTCATTGAGAGGGACGAGCACAAGCATGAGGAGTGGGGTTTGATTTATGGCTGTGTATTTGAGGATTAAAACTCCGCCCCACCGGGAGCTCGGAGTGTTTGTGCACGTGGCTGTGCTCCAGCGTGTGAGCGCACATGTGTTTGTGGAGTGTGTCCATTTGCCAAGGGAATCTAACAACAGCCAACAAACTCAGAGATTGCATTGCTCTTTTGAAACCCTGGATGAAAAAAAAATGAGCTAAGAAATCAATACATCAGGAGTCATGTTGTCACAAGTACTTTTCCTCCCCCTTTTGATGGCCAAAGAAGTCTTTCATCATGTGGCTTTAATTTAGCCTCTTTTTTCTTTTTTAGCGGCATGCCTCACAGCTTTCAAAACCCACCAAACAAAACCACTGTTGGGGTGTATTGGACCTTCTTTCAGGCCTTTTCTTTATAATTGATCTGTTCATCCCTTTCAGTTTTCAGCCAACTCCTGTGTTTGCCAAGGCTGGCCAATCGTCATAATTTGGAACGCTAGTTTGAACACTGACTAGAAATTTCGATACCAAAAAATTGTGTTTGAATTTGGATTAAAATGCTAAATAAAACCAAACATCATTATCTGCTAATCTAATGAGACAAACCACCATAAAAACGTTGAAAGATATTTTACAATTTTGAGAAAAATATTTCCTTCTCCTGAAGGACTGTGTTTACCCTTATGTGCCATCCCATCAGTCAGAAATTGAATTTGTGTTGCAAGTAAAAAATAAAGAGATGGATGTTCACGTTATGGCTGTCTATTGTATCCAATTTCTTTAATTAATCAGACTTTAAAACATTGGAAATAAGCCTTTTTTAACATATACACCATACATAAGTGGAAGAGCTCTGTGCAAATAGCTCAGCAAATCAAAGAAAAATGACAGCTATACATCATGATACAGTACATTTACTTAATCATTTTGTTACTTTGAACTGAATCAAATGTTCTCTGATGAAGTTCCACAAATGCAGCTACTGAAGGCTTGAGAGTAGTTGTGTTTTCGCACAGTGTTGCTGCATTAAATCAAGTAGAAGATGTAAAGCTGTCAACCCACAGCAGGTATAAAATCCATCACATATACTCTAGCTGTGAAATGCCATAAGTATAAATGTCTGAAATTAGAGTAATTCAAGTGATGGAGATCTTCTTACAAGCTGAGTGAGCTTTTAAGCTTTTATTGCATTTTACTACACTGACACCGACCGTAGGCAAGTCACAGTCAAAGAGAGAAGATTTATTGAAAATGGATTCCAGAGGGGATTTGACCCTTGGCAGTAAAGATGCACTTGGGATGACAGAATCACTACACCTAACTATTCAAACTCCTCTGGAAACAGATTTGTTCCCCCCCAGCTCTAGAAAATCCTTCTTTAATTTCAACAGATCATGACACAATGCATGTAAACACATTCAATTATTGGCCACATGCTAACATCGTTTTTACTTTTACATTTTGCTCCAACTTCATTTGCTAATGAAGTTGCACCATTCATTCACCTTTTTTCTATACCACTGACTTGTTTAGGAGGCTATGTATATTAGGAAATCTTTTTCTTCCATATAAAGTTTAATTAAAATTTAGTCACGGCTGCTCCACCTAAACCTTCCAAAATGCATCAGTGTAATTTAACAATTATGTGAAACTTCCACGGCTGCAGCTTAAACAGAAACATTTTCCCAGTTCAGCCTCACAGATACATTATAATTTTGAAGTAGAATGAATGTCTGAAGAGATGTCGGGAACATTAGGTCAAAGAGAGTTGAAGCTAATATGAGACTTGAGTACTTTAAGAATCTATAGCAGTGAGAGAATCATTTTCTAATTTATTCAGAGGGCATTTCAGCACAGAAAAGGGGCAAGCAAAGAAACACAACACAAGCAGGAATATGTGGCTTCATCAGCTATTAAACATCGGCTATTGTCCTCTTCAGTGTAACTGGACAGATAATTGTCCCTTTAGCCTGTCTGTGATAATTGGGTATATTGTAATTTTCTTCTTTTCTATTCTTTTGGGCTCTTATCTTAGAAAATTCTCACACTTTAGTTTATCATTACATTTCTCCCTCTGTCTCACATTTGTGCTTTGATTTATCTTTCTTATTCTGCTCCTTCTTTTAGTCATTCAATATTCGCTGCAGGACATGCATAATCCTAAAGTCTGATACGCATGCTGTGTTGGACCTGGAGTCTGGGAAGCGATGGAGAGATGCACATACTGATGAGAAGGCAGGGACAGGACAGACTCAAATGAGCCTGATAAGCTAGCGCCTGGGGAGGAAAGGAAACGAATTTGCTTAATTGGCAAATTTGTTCCACTTAGATAGCAGCATTTTGCATTGAACAACAGTGCACCTTACCTGGCAGGCCAGGCCTTACGGGCAGTGTGTTGGGTTGGTCTCAAGGTTGCCGCGATGACCATTGAACTGCAGTTAAATTAAGCTGAAACCTGGTTCTCAATGATCCTCATAAACTTTCTCAAGCAGTGAAAGTCTCACTTAATTTTTCCAGCCAGAGGAGAAATACCAAATTAAACTAAGTTTAAAGTGGCTTCAAATAGTCAGCAGGGCATCCAGTGCCCAAGCCGGAAAGTTACATTTTTCTGACAGCCTCAAGCTGTCAAAATGTTGAAATGAGTGAGAGTCAACATGCTTGGAGAAGTGCATAATACTATCACCCTAAACTTAATGCATACAGTGAGTCATCTCAATGTCTTGCATCAAGTCTAAACAGTCAAGTATTGTTAAAGGGGATGTAACGACCCACATTTGCAGTCATTTTAATGGGAAGTGAAAGTGTCACGGAGACAACTGCAGAGCGTTGTGCCAAGTTTTGCTCCATCCTATTCAATTAAAGTTGAGTTTCATTAACACGTGCCCCCTCGTTGTACTTCCCACATGCTAAACTCTCCCCACCTTCCCTCAGTCATGGATGGCCTTTTCTCAGTGCAACAAGGACTTTCATGAGATCACATTAACAACAACAAATGAGCCCTCCAAGTCTGACAGCAGAATATTCTGGAGGCGGGGGGTGTCTAAACCCTTGTCGTGTCCTTGGTTTATCTCTACACCGTCTCTGGAAATGTTATGTTTATCACTGAGTAATTACAGTTTAAGCACTTTAAATGACTTGGGATGGGATGCCGGATGATTAATTACACTTGGAAGAAAATACTTGGGCCATTAATGCGGGGCTAACGATTGAATAACAATTTTTACAGAAATTGCAGATGCAACTTGGTTAGGGCTTAAAATTTTGGGAAAATGTAATATAATCTAATGTAATATAAATTTGAATATACAAAATGGCCCTTAATCAAAGCACTAGTTTTAGGAGGTGTGATTACAGAAGGAACCTCACTTCTCCAGATTTTCTTTGGTGCTAAAGAAACTACAGCGTTCCTGGACTTTTTGAAAAGGTTAGTTTATCTTCCGGGCTTTTCGACTTTGACTCCATGACTAATCTTAAAAGACAAAACACCAGCTTTCAATCATTCACTTCGGTCAAAAATGTGGAAACACTTGACTACACATTGGTCACTTCATGGAAGGAATTTGTCAATAGCAAATAAATGATCAGTGGTCAGAAAACGTTCATATCAGGTGTAAAACCCATTCTTTTCCTTAGACTCTTATTTGTTTGAATGCATGCTGGTGACAGTCCTCCTTATTGTATTGTTCTCAGCAGGAAGTCGATGTATATCTATGCTTAAAGACAAAGTCATGTGACTTTATGACAAAATCATGAAGGTTAACTGCTGCCAGCCATAGTCCAAGACAGTCCCTTTGGAGTCCATGTGCAGACCTGCATTGGACCGGCAAAGGATTACGAAGACAAATTGAACAAAAATTAATATAGACTTGGGCTACCTGCTTTCCAATGACAGCACAACAAGAAGACAATTCTATATAGAAATAAAGGATCTCTTTTTAAATTCTATGCAGGAATAAACTAAAGCAACCTTAAGCTGCAATTCCATTATAAATTCTCCGTGGTCTGATTTAAAGTGTGCAGAGATTATTGACTCTATCATGGCTGGGACAGATAATATGGTTTGCTGGTTTTCATTAGTATCCAGGACAGCTAGTCCAGTCCCACAAGGCTTAGTTATGGCAAGATGCGAATGAAGTCCTTTTCCCCTCTCACTGTTAGTGTGGCCTCCGAGAACACAAAAACAGTGGCGGTGTGAGGGGATTTCAAGCTGTAAAGTCCTTTCTGTTCATGCATTTAAACTGAAAACAAGCATCTTGTCTAAATCAGGATGCTCTGCAAGCTGGGGGGGTATGGAAGCTTCACATAAATGTCACGACCAAAATAAATGTGCCTTAGAATGCGAGCGGAGTTTAATAGATCACGTTGCATCATGACCTCAATTCCTCAAAATTCAAAGTGTAGCTAAGCCACAGCTTCGCCGAGCAAAATAACAAAGTGAAAAGCCTTTAACCTCTCAGCAAAACCAAGTTGTGAAAAGAGAAAAGTACATCTCCACTTTTTGATGCCACAATCGTTTTTCTTTTTTTTTGAGGCTTCAAGTTGTACTAAAGGGACCTGGATTTGTCACTGCATTATTTACTATTGCCATTCTCTTCGTTAGGCAGAGCCACGTTAATGAATGCATGAGAAGTTGCCTATTTGATGACCACAAAGCACTGGGGAGGCTTGTGGTACAATGATGCTCCATTTGCCTGAGCTTAATGATTCATCACACGTACAAAATGTGCACCTAATGTTTTACACATGTGTGGAGCTGTTAATATTTTCAAGGCTCAAACTATTTTTTTAATGCATTCAACCTTTTGGTAATAGGACAACACGGAACTTGCAATACAAAGCAGGTTTAAAATGTTGAGAATGTCGATTACCCAAAGACACGTTTTCAGCCTGAACTCAATAGCACTACTGAAGTATAGTGTATACTATAGTTTCACATAGTGTACCAGTTTCCAGAGACCTTAAATTATTATATCAATTTATCTAGTTAAATCCTATTTTTGTAAGCTTGTTTATCAGGGCTGTACGGCAGCAGTCCTCATTTATTTGCTTGTTTTGGACATTTTTAGGAGTCAGTCTGGCATTCAATCGAATGGTACACAGTTGAGGGTGAGGGCTGCTCTGTGTTGAAAACAGACAAATACAATCTCAGTATTCAGAAAGACCAGGGGCTCCGACTTCAGGTCATACCAACTATTAATCAAAATGTAATATCACGTTCTACAGCAAACATGCACAGCTTCTGCCCTCTTTCCTGGTTATGATGTCCTGACCTTTTCACTACAGACAGTTCCCGCAAAACTCCATCAGCAATCAAAGCAACATTTTTCTGTTTTCTGGAATATAACTTAATAATTTCAAAGCAAACTGTACAAAAAAGAGGAACGAGAGGTAGAAGTATCAGCATGGAATTGAATAAGGATGTGCACTTGTAAGAAAATTAATGGAAAAAGTATGTCTTTAAATCATACTGAAATTCAGAGAGACTGTAGCCCTGGAATGCAATTATTCACTTTAAGCAACAACCATATTTGTGGTATATACAATGTGTCTGTTGTCCCTCAAAATCAGCATTTCCCTGATATTACTAGTGAGAACTCATATATACATATATATATATATATATATATATATATACTGTGTGTTTGTATACAGTATATATCTGTTGGAACCATTAGCAACTCAGCAAAAAGTCTATACACAGATTTTTTCTCATTTTAGAGGTAATAACAGTCCTCTGGTCTCGTCCTTTGAAATTTGATGGTAGCATTGGCATTTTGTTTACATATAGATCATAGACCGTGCCTTTGAGTGAATGAAAAGCTTCTGATGCTCAGGCACACAGGCTTTGATATTGACATATCTGCCCACTGAGCCTCCGCATGAAGGCACACGGCATCAGAGAGCCGCACAACACACCACTCTCAACATGACTGTCCGTGAGAGCCTCATTTTATATTCATAGTAAAAATTAAAATGGCCATGACAGGCACTCTTTTTCACACAGACACACACACACATGTACAAACACACACATGTCTGCACACACACTGCCTCAGGGGATAGTCAGGAAATTGGAGAGAAATGAATACATGACATCTAAATAAGTCATAGATATACATTCATTTACCAAAGAACACAGGAAAAAGGGGGACATAGCACGGCACGTAAATGGATACATAATGCTCTCAGTGTATAAATAATCAATCAAAAAAAGGACTGGAACTCTGACAAACTTTACAAACATTAAATTGAAAAGGGGAGTAGAGATTTGTCTTTGATATGCCCTAGCTGAGGGAAACAAAACACTCTTGAAAGCTGAGCGATGCTCTGGGTAAGACACATGGCGGCTTCTGTCAAAACAGCACAGGAGAAAATGTTGCTTGCTTGAAGTGCAAGCAGGCTTTACCTCAGCCACAGGCACTCCCTCTGGGGGACGGCAGTGCAGCGCGATCATGCCATTCAGAGGCACCTCGGTGCCTTGAGGGTCCTGCTCGAAGTTCTTCCTCAAGTCTAGGACAGACAATAAACAGCCTGCATTAAGGAACAAACACAACAGCGTGAAGGAGCAACATAAAAGGTTACTTTATTACATGTGTGACCTTCCACCCATGAATGAACACGGACATAAAGTTGAGGCATTATTACCCCACATGTTTAAAGAGGATAACCTCTTCAGAGACAGTAAGGTCAATCTGGAGAGTCAGAGCATCGTAAAGTTGCTTACAGGCAATGCGGACGGTTGCCTTGCGGCTCTTGGAGGTTCCCAGGTGACTCCAGGCCACGCACAAACACCAGTAATCCTCCGGGCCATGAAAGTCCTCCACCTGCTGACGTGAAACGTTGATCATCACTTCACGGATTTTCAGGCCTGCAGAGACAAGACAGATTGCTTAGATTAGCTTTCATTATTTCGCAGAGACGATGACTCCAAGAGATGGAGATTTGGAGAGACAAGATGATGAGTGAAATTTGAAACTGATAAGATTATCAGCCCTAAACAAATGTGCTGTTTTTGCCGGGAGGAGATGCTTGTCAAAGTATATACATTTCAGTTACTGTTTGAGCAACAGCTGAGCCAGGCACAAAGTCATGGAGTTGTCCACTCCATTATGAATTTTAAAACCCTGTCATTGTTGGCCTTTTGAAGCTTCCATGTTCCCCTCACTATCTGGAAATTCAAATCCATTTCAGAAGTGGCACTACTATTTTGCAGTGGAAGCTTTAACCGAGAAGAGGAACAAATCAAGTTTTTATTGTAAGAAAGAGCTTGACCACTTTTCTTTTTTTATAAAACTATTTTAAAGGCCAAACATTTAAGGCATGAAAAATGTAAAACAGCCTGTTAAATGCTGCACCTGCACCCAAATACTTCGTGTGACAATCAAGCTTTTCGATTTCTACAGCGGAAGTCTGATATAATTTCACACAGGTCATTTGTTAATATCTCCATATTGTTGGGGATGCAGCCCATAATGAGCCTGGGATGAGAGGAACGTTTTCTGAGACAATTAAAGGGAATTTAAAAGCCTGGAATTTCAATTATGCTAGACTATGCACAAAAGATGACAGGCTCGGACCATTAATGCATTGCATAATAGGGGTAGTTTCATTAGTTTCTAGGAAAATTGCAGCTTTCAGCAACCGTATGTGATGCCTGTCTAACCCTGCAAAAACCGGCATTTCAGTCAGCCAAATGGAACAGACTTTTAATATGTGAGTGCAGTGTTATGAACAGCTAATGTTTGGTGTCTAGTGTCCAAACTCATCTATCCCGGCAGAATGCAATTAAGCCGGCACAGTGGGGTGACAGAGAATGGGGGTGGGGTGGGGGGGCGGAACGGTAAAGATAATAAAATACCCACCCCAGTGAAACAAATCTAGCATTCTAGGGTTGAGGTTGTAAGCGTATTGCTTTTTCGGTGAGCTACAGTCAGAAACAGCAACACATCAACATAGTCTAACACTTACAAAGAGGTCATGTTGCGCCTTCTTAATTTGATCAGATCGAATAATGTCATTATTCTCTCTTAGTGTGCAGCACTTTAGTTGTTTTTAAATTGTGTCTATAAATAAACCAACTTAACTTGATTTAACAGTAACCAGACCAGTTTTCCTGCAAAGAAGGAAATTCACAAGTAGAACCAAGATATACCTCAGTGGTAGAACAAAGAAGAATGTCAGTATTGAACAAAACTTCATGGTTAAGACAAAAACAGACTTCTTAAGACTATTGTTTTGGATGATGTGGCCACCCTTATCATTAGAGATGGTAACAACAATTGTATTCATTGTAATTATCACAAAAAAGTGATGAAAAAGACCACCAAGTGCAAGATTCAGCTCTCTGTTTCCTTATGAGGCTCCAACTTGTTCGTAGTCATTTCAGTTTGCTTAATTTGCTTAATCTTTTAGTAGAAAATACATTTAAAAACTGCAAACTGCTCCAATGTTCTTGTTGGGCGGTTATGTTTATTGGCTAATTTTTCCCCCATACAGTCATGCAATATTGGGTTAACACAGGCTTCCTCTGGGCTCAGTTTGTTTTGGTGGTCAGGCCTAGTTGAATTAGCACTATTTCAATCAATTTGCATAATTATTAAATGTTTTCAAATGTCTTGCTATACTTAAAGGCATCCACAACCTTTTTAGCATCTTTGAAGACCTTAGGAACTGTCTGGATCTTGGCATAATGACACCACAGATGCTTTAGCAAAGAAAAAAATTCTGGTATGAGATGAATTTTTCAAGTAGCATTTCAATCACAGCAGCCAATCTGGGATTCATGATCTTAAACTATGGGCTGTTAGGTTTGATTAAATGATTAGTCCTTTAAAAGGCACTTTTGAAAAGTGAATAGTTCAGATATGTTGAAAATGATAAACATCTTCCATGTAATATAAGTGAAATATAAGATAATTATTGTCGGTATTTATATAATTAATCTATTTAAATGTGGACTGATATCATGCGGCACTGCTTACGCACGACTGATTGGCAGCCATATCTATCTTGGCAGCACTAAAATTGACATACAATGTTTCACATCACCATCCCCTGCTGCCAACAAGGTGCTCGCCCATCACTGGGAGCTACTTTGACTTCAGTGTCTTGCCCGGAGACATTTTGGCATGCTGCCACAATTCATTAACAAAGCGCTCTTCAATCTGAGTCATATTTGCAATTAGACTCCGACATGAAAAAGACAGAGGGGATCTATATCGCAAAGAAATGATCAATATGATTTATGGGTGAACTGAGTCATTACAATGACATGTTTTCAATAGAAAGAAAACAGTGTTATATTCTTTAAAAAAAAAAAAAAAAAAAAAAAAAAAAGCTTTATCTTTTATGTCCCGATTTAAAGCTTTGCTTTATTCATATTGTCGCCCATTCAACAACACATCTGTTTGACACTCATCGTAAAGCTGGGCCTCATGTGGCTTGTAGCTTAATCACGCGGACCCCCACTTGTAGAGGAGCCGTCTCTCCACAGGCTTTTGCCGTCATGCCGTACGTCGCACACAGCAGCTTAGACATGGGCAGGGATTAAATGAAAACTAATAATACAAAATGAAAGGTTATCTGAAGGAGCCTAATGAAGTAATGTAAAACAGAAAATGTTCTCTGAAGACAAAGTAATCCCCTGCAATGACTCACTGATATTATGCAGAATAAGGCCCCCTCCTCCATGTACTCCTCCTTCACTGCAACAAATTAGAGACTTAATCAACACGCCTGATTTAGTGAGAGTGCTGCAGATTTAGCGAAAGAAAAATAAAAACACCCAATTGCACCCCAGTGAGGCTTATATTTGGCATCAAATCGTGAGAATTTTTAGTGTCAGTGAATTAGATCTTTGGGTTAAATGCATGAGTTGTATGAAATATTACAATTACGTTATGTGGATTTTTCTATGAATTGTTTGATAAATCTCCCCCTAAATGCTCTTCCGCTGAAAGAACCAAGACTTATCTTTTGAAGGAAAGATAAACAAAGGGATAAAATCATAAAGACACAGACTTTAAAGTTCCTTGGCTTTAGGTGGAGATCAAAGAGCTCTGTCCCTTTTCGAGCAGCCTGAAAGGACGCTGCGTTAGAGAGGAATGATCCAATAACGGCTCAGTCGCACTTCTGATGATGGCCACTTCTCCGCATTCAGCAATACAATCAGGTCTCTCCATGAGCCTGTCCCCGGATACTTGTTTATTTTCTTGTACCTTTTTTTTTTGTCTCCTGCCCTCTCTGTGTTTTCCCTTCAGGCTCATGCCAGTGGCTGATGACAGAGCACTACAAAGCGGGTACAACAAGCCTAAAGGTGAAGCAGCTTCCATTTGCTCTTTAAATCATGCCTTTTTTATATGTCTCCATAAGAGAGCTGGAAAGAGATGCCCACTTATCATCGTGGGTTGCTAACACTTTAAATTTATTTTTTTGATTTTGTGGTGTCACCCTCCCAGCTTTTACTCCATTGTTTTGACTTGGCTGAGTTGATAAAAGAGGCCCTAAGAGAGCCAGGGAGTGCCAGCTACAAGTGGCTTGATCTGAGTGGCTGTCTGGCCTGGCCCCGCAGAGCCACGTCCGTGTCTCCGTCGCACTTGACTCCACAGAAAAAAGGGAGCAGAATTTTGTTTGTCTGAGAGATCCTCATGAGGCGGCTGTGCACATGGCGGATGACACATCGTGGGTTTGCGGTTGAGATGGATGGATATAGCTCGAGGAGCGTGCCGGTCTGATGTGAACCCGGCTCTGGGCAAATGTTTGTGCGATGTGACATTGCAGCGTGCAGCCCAGCATGTGGGGGCTGTGAGGGTTGGCTGAAGGCCAGTCGCAGATGAACCCTGCTAGACAAGCGGAACATGCTCCGAGCAACATCTTCAGTCTGGTCCCAGCTGTGTGTCATACTTAATCCTGGAACCAAAGGGACGCCTTACTTCATGCATTAAAAGACAAACAAACAAAAAAAGAAAAAAGGAAAGAAACAAACATGGTAATTCAAACAGAGAAGGGCTGCAAGTCTTTATTTGTGTCATCACCCCCTCACTTTTGCCTTGTTCATGTTTTAGTCTGCCGGACTGTCTATTTGAACCCGCTACTAAATATGCAAGTGGTTTTTACTCTGTGGGCTAGTTCATTTATTCTACTTCCGTTTCTCTAATACTTTGTGATGTGGAGAGACTTGAAGGCATCTCACTTCTCCTTCAGCAGTCTACACCCTCTTCCTTCTTTGTTGCTGAGTTCATGCGAGGTTCATGGTATCTCACAGACTTCCAGGGTCATAATACACAACACTGGAGACTGCCTTTGACAGGGCATCAACAGAAAGGGATATGCATACTTCCTCTACCCACCCTGTATTCATAGATTTAACTCAACCACTATCTCTTCATCGATAGATCTACAGGAGCTGCTATCCTGTCACTCTCAACACAACCAATGTCGTATCACTTTCAGCCTCTCTTTCACTCTCACATCACTTCCTCTGTTTCCAATGTCCTCTTCCTCCTATTATTCCACCTATCTCTTATCTCTGCATCAGGGTATCATCCTTTCAGTTGGAGCCAAAGGCACAGATATCCCCTCTGTTCCAGCTGCCTCGCTCCTCTTCTTTTCCTCTGTCCTTCGGTAATCTCAAGTTCAATCATTCATTTCCATCTCTTAGCCCTCTTGCAGCTTTTTGGCAGAGGGGGAAACAAACACATATTTGTGATAGGTCACAGATGGCTGCAGCATGGTACTTTGACACAGCTCCGCGTGACCGATGAAATAAAGTAAAACTGACAATATAGCATTTGAGCCAATTTCTATGAGATTTAAAAGCTTGAGATGAATTTTCAGATCATCTGCCCCTGGTCTGCTATTATTCTGAAATGGTTCATTTATCCTGAACATTA